TTCTTTCACAGATCTAGCTGCGTTCTTCATGGCCCTCAAAAAGTACACCACCATGACACCTTTTCCTGAATAGCTGGCTATTAGCACTTTAAAATGTCCTTTAATTCTTACAACACAGCACCCATATCCAGTGGGAGCCTACCCAATACCATCTTCTTGCAGCAGTGTGATTTAAACGAATGCTCTTCACCTTTTTCTGGTGCTTCTCTTACACACGTAGGGCTTGATCTGTCCACAGTGGGTACGCAAGTACACCGTTCTTACTCACAACAGAGCTGTTACATCAACTTGTTTCGCGCTGGCAGCCATACTGCACTCCTACTTTTCCTACAAAGCGTTTACACTGACTTATGGGTATTCAGGATTTTCTAGCAAGTTGTCAAAGCTGGCTAGTTTCAGGACTATGAACCATTCAGTACCTCAGATAAAGTGACAGAATAGCTGGTGTTTTAAAAATAGCGACCACTCTGTCCAACTCTTTCTTTATTGTACACACAGAAAACAAACCATACACACTTTCTCTCCATAAAAGTCAGGGCTAACATTTTTAAAATATGGTTCTGAATGTTGCAGAACCTATTTTTTAAAGTAATGAGTGTGTAGTTACATTTCAGGGGCCTAATTCTTAGCAATGCTATTTTATCCCAACTTCCAGTCACACTGGCAGGTTGCTCATCACTTTTGATAAATGAACCCACAAGCATCTTCCTTTTAAAAGCTAAAACAACCCCTAAGAAAATGAGGCAACGGAAAAATAACTCTTGGGGGATGGAATGGCTGCTGGCCTGAGGCAAAGCTCACTGCTGCCCACGGGACATCCCTATATCCATAGGGATTCCATGCTGCCTCAGTGCTGGCCCCCAAACACTAAGGATGGATGCAGCAGCTTATGTCACCCAGTGCCCATGGCTGGAAGATACAGCAGCGGTAGCAGGCCTTTCCACTTGCTTCCAAATACCCTGGGTATTGGTAGTTTGGGTTGGTTTGTTTGTTTTTCCAAAGGATATCATAATTTTTTTTCTTTTAAGAGCCAGGCTGAGCTCAGAATGGGCTAGCACCATTTGTCATATCCATCTTGATGGGCATCACAAATCTGAGTATTCTCAGCTTTTGTTTGGTGAAGAGTATTCTCAGTATGAAATCACAATCAGAAATCCTGAGCGCAGTGAATTCATCCACAGAATGCTGTACAACTCAGTGCCAAACAATGCAAAGACTTAACACCTCCACTGCAGTGCATAATTCTCTCTTGCAAATAGCATGAATTCAGGATCCAAGAACTAAGGTAAGAGGTTATTGCTGAGTAATTCTATTCAGGAACTCAGTAACTGTAACACAAACCAACCAGAAATAATGTCCCACAGTCCAACAGCACCTGCTTAACAAAGGAAGACTTCTTACTTAAAGTCCTTATGCAAGTTACATTTTTTGTATAAAGAATATATTGCTTCCTTCTATTGCTCTGAGTTTACTCACCAGTTTATAGTAACTGCAGTACGGAGGATTTTATTGCTCTTGTGCTAAAGACATTATTTCCCCTTATTGCTAAAATCTTAATGTTAGAAGAAATGGTTAAAAAGACTATTTAAAAAAACCCAAAACCCTCTCCTAAGCTTTGGGGATGAATATATGAAAAACACGACTACAGTAAATTTTGCCCATCAAGATACAACCGGTTACTAACTTTGGGCCAAGCGCGTTAATAAATAAAAATTAACTGTAATTCAAATGAAATTATTCTTTAAGAAAAAACGTCTTTTGTCATTACGATGGAGATATGAAAGATACTTCACTGCAGAACGGTGAATCCAACAGCCCTGGTCTTACGCACGGGTGTCCTTTAATGGGACACCAAAATGCCAGAATCCTGCAAGCTGGATTTCTGCCCGTTTCAGAGGGACCTTGGATGGATACGGGCACCTTGCTATACGGAACCGGGGCCTACACCATAACTCTGAGGTGACGGCAGAGAATTGTTTCGTTCTGCGGGGGCGGAAAAGCGGCTGTCAAGCATTCCTTGCCGTGCAGGCAAGGTAGGCTTCGTCCCCGCAGCTCTGCCGCTCCTCCCAAGAGCGTGTCGCACGTGTGTCAGATAGCTCATACCCGGTACTGCAAGCCACGTTGAAGTCCGGTCCGACAGTTGTGGGCAAACCTCTCACTGACCTCCCGGAGGATTCTGCACCGCCTCAATGTGAGAACGCATTTCTGGAGGAGACAGCATCCTCAGTGGAGGTCACAGCAGTAGCTCGGAGGCATAATTATGTTTCTCATCTGCTTGTGGTGGAAGGTAGCCATGCGCTGCTCCTCAAACGAGGGCAAATCGCATCCCTACGAGCCCGCTTTGAGGGACTTCTATAATTAATCCTTCTTTCCTCCGTTTGACTCACTCTGCTCCTCAGGAGAGGAGCTCCCAATTACAAATCTCCGCTCTGGCACAAGGAAAAGGTCGGCTCCCCCAGCACTCTGGAGAGCCTCTGCGGATTTGAGCAGCCTGTGGAGCGAGGAAGATGACAAGGACGCTAGGTGAACCAGCATGAGAAGAGGGGACAACATATATCTCCCTCTGTGCTGTGTTTTTCTGGCTTCCCTACCACCCGGGCATTGTGGAGAGAAAAACACCAGTGCCTGTGAGGTTATCCAAGAGGATGAGAACAGGTCTGCATAAGCAAAACAACAGTTGCCCTCAGGACTGAATTTTGGTCATAGTTGTAGCTGCTCATCCTCATCAGGGTTTGCAGCAATTTGACACAGAAAAACAATTGGGGGGGGGGGGATAAACTTTGCATGGCTAAATTATCCTATTTGTTGTTTTAAAAAGGTGCCATTCTACATTATTCAGCCTCTCTACATTATTCAGCTCATGACTTTTACTGCCCCTTATTCCCCATACTTTGCATACTTGCAAAACTGCACGCATACATAGCATAGATATTTATGAAGTGATTATTTCTTATACAAAAATTCATTACAAAATAAGAACAAGGCAATGACTAGGGTTTCATCAGCATCCAGCAGCAGATAAAGAACACCAATATCCTACGCTGAGCAGGGGCCATAGTCTTAACTGCGCTGAGCATCTGTAAGTCGCAGTGAAGCCAGGGGAGCTGGAAGTTCCCAGCTCTACTGGACCATGCCATGCAATTTGTAAACTAATCAGATTACAAAGTAAGAGCCAAATACCATGAAGATTGAACGAAGTAAAAATGGAATTTGAACCCAGCACTGCAACCGAAATTAATTATTGCTCATAAAAACCTCTACAGAGCCTTGTTTACAGACAACTCATTCACATTGGAGATTCAGCTTTGTGTATAGCAAACGAGTCTTTAACGTCACAGGAACTTTGCCACAAAAAGCTACAGTCACCCAAACCATGTGAAAAGGACATATTCCATTTGGAAAAATCCAGACCAGCAACACGGTTGTCTCGACTATCTATACTATACAGGTATATTTTTTTCATTAGACTGTAAATATTGCTATTTTTACACTTGAGTTTGTTGGGTTTTTTTTTTTTTAATGTAATGGAAGATACCGAAGCAATAATACAGTACACTGGCTTCGACATTCAAGGGCATGTAACCTCCCACTGATGCCAGGGCACTAACAGACTGAGCTCCCATCACCACTAACGGGAGTGGTTCTATAACCTCCCATGCACTGACATTAGGGTACACCTTAAATTTCACCAAAGCATCTGCCAGGAAGGTTTCCTCTCCGACAATCAAGTTTTCAAATTAGCAAACAATGCATTATTTCCAGTGCATTTTAATGTGGCTGCAGTAAAAGTTAGCAGCATTTCCAAATGTAATCACTGATGAGAGAAAGCTCTGCTTTTTAGACCAGAACTATCACCCTACAATGAACTTACGTGTACAGTGTGAAGAATCACCATCTGTAGTGGATGAAACTGCCAGAGAAGGAGAGAATATTGTTTCATGTTGCAATTCTGGTTGCAAACAGTTATGAACCAGGTACGCTCTAAGAATTTATAAACTTCAGCATTTTAAATTACGTAGCAGAACAATGAAAACAAGTGATAATAGTTTTGACTTAACAGCAAATTTGTGGGGAACTATTTCACGTAGATGCTAAATACGTGCTGCAAGTGATTTGTAGGTTATTTTATTAGATATTTTCTTATACACCTCTGAAAAGATAAACTTGCCTGACAGACTCAGTGTTGCATCTATTACAAACACATAGCCAAAAGAGGCCGTATTGTTTCATCAATTTCAAAACTCCCCCCCACCCAGTTATTTTAAAAATTAATATTATGATGAGCTCTGATGTCCGGTATCTAAGTGAAAACATATGGCTGACTTGAAAAGGAAGGCAAAGCATATCTTCTGTTCTAATATCCACCCAGAACTCTGGAGAGAACAGGTAACCCTTTCAAAGAAGTATTAAGCTAATTCATGATGAGACGTAAAATAAAAAGCTATACAAGTATTTCCTCACCTAGAGCAAATTTATCGCACTGAGATCGTTACAATAAATAGCATATAAATCAGTACAATTGGCCATTATTTTGAAGAGTATTCTGATGTTATACAAATAGGGTAACAGAACATGGGTTTTCTTTTCTTTAAAAAGAATTAAAGAGGGAAAAAACATCCTGACAACAGACTGTAACATGCAGTATGACTGAACTCCGTCACATAAATGATTTCGAAGGAGGTATGTTGTTTCAATCTAATTTTAATTAGCAAACTTAATGTAAAACCTTAGCAAACATGGCAAAGTCTACGTAACGTAACGAAAAGACCCTGAGCAACATTATAAATCTGTAACACTGACTGTTTTGATGAGGGGAATCTCCCTTAAACCGCTCGATTAATTTTGGTCACGGGGGTTGTCTGTTCACAAAAAGGTCAGCGCACCCTGCGGTTTTTATAGGAACCCATCACACACCACTTAACGAATGCACCTAAACCAGAGACAGTGTCGCAAGAACGTCTGGCGAGTAACTCGTTAGGGAGCGTCCTCCTAGCTGTCAATCAGACATCACTGGGTGATCTTGCCCTCTGAGACAGGTTAGAAGGAATACAGCCACAACAGATGAGCCAAAGTGCTTTCTGTATCTCCTGGTTTCTAAAAGCGTATATCACAGGATTGATGATGGAATTGTAGGTAGCTGGCAGGAGGGTGGCATAGGTGTATATAGAAGGATAGGTGTAATCTGCTATTAAAGAATAGAGCGTAAAAGGCATCCAGCAAGCAGCAAAAGTCCCCAAAATAATGGCCAAAGTAGACACTCCTTTTCGGGTGGTCACATAGTGGGAAGTGGCCAGGAAATGGTGTTGCAAGGCAATCTGATGGGCATGGCGCATCACGATTTTACAGATCTGAATGTAGAGCTGCAGCATGAGGGCAAACATGAGCAAGAAAGAGACCGAAAGGACAGCTGCGTTATTTTTAGTGAGCGGTCTGATAACACTGCAGGTGGATTCATCTCTGAGGCAGTTCCAGCCCATTACAGGCAGCAGTCCAACACAGATAGATGCTCCCCAGAGCAATATAAGCATGACATAGGTAAAAGTGACAGTCCTCTCCGAATTGTAAGTCAAAGCGTAATACAGGGAGAGGTAACGATCAACAGTAATAGCCAGCAAGCTGCCGACAGATGCTGAGAAAGAGGCAACAATCAGTCCAATCGTAACCAGCTTCGTAGCTTCTGATTGCAGAAGGTATGCAAAAACGAAATTGATGATCAATCCAATGCCCGCTAAGAGATCTGCCAGCGCCAGGCTGCCTATCAGGAGGAACATGGGGGCACGAAGACTGGGATTATGGAAAATGATAAGGACCACAACGGCATTTTCGCAGGAGATAAGGGTCCCTGAAGTACACAAGACAATGTCCCAGGGGTTTACCAAAAGCTCTGGCTCTGGGTCTACGACAGGAACCAGGGAGGAGCCTGCGGCTGAGGCATTCTCGGTAGAGCTGGCGTCTACATGATCCTGAGGCAGCCAGCTCAAATTAACCTTCAGATCTTCATTCATTTTAACCCCTGTCTTCTTCAACGGAAAGATATTTATTTTTAATGTTCAGACACAGCAGTGGATGCAGCATCCCCGGAGCATGCAACGCCCTGGACGCCAACACCGATCTAACGTGCAGGCAGGCACTCGTTACATAAATGTGACAATAACAAAAATAATAAAAACGGAGGGGATGGGGCAGGAGGGTGGGGTGGGGGGTGTGTGGAATTTAAAACTGCCCGAGATCATCAGCCAAGGGACCCACGGACGGAGGCTGAGCAGTAATTCCCTTCACCTGCAGAGAGAATAAGGC